TATTCCTCTTATAGGGAACAAGTGCAGAACAAGACAACCGCTTCAGCAACAAACAGAAGAAACTCCTAAAGCAATTGAAATTTGCAGAATGTCTTGAGAAAAAGGTAATGTATACCAGTGTTACCTTATGACTTTTGTACTTGTCAGTACAGCCACCTAACTTTGTTCTTTCATTGGATGTGCACATTGCAAGGCTGGTGTTTGTTGCCCATTCTTAATTAGCCCTGAACTGAATAGTTTGCTAGGTCATTTAAAAGGCAGCCACTTTGCTGTGTAATTAAGTCATATGTTGGTCAAACTGGGTAAGGATGGCTAATGGGTTATGGTAGTGCAGCGGTAGTATCCCTACCTAATGAGCCATGAGGCCTGGTTTCACGTCCCACCTGTTCCAGAGGTGTGTCGTGACATCGGGGTTCATGTCCACAGTTCCCTGAAAGCTGCCTCCCAGGTGGAGAGAGTCGTATGGTGTGTTAGCTTTCATTAATAGAGGGATTGAGTTTAAGAGCCGTGAAGTTATGCTCCAGCTATACAAAACTCTGGTTCGGCCACATCTGGAGTATTGTGTCCAGTTCTGGTTGCCTCATTATGGGAAAGATGTGGAAGCGTTGGAAAAGGTGCAGAGGAGATTTAGCACGAAGTTGCCTGGAATGGAGGGAAGGTCTTATGAGGAAAGGTTGAGAGAGCTAGGGCTTTTCTCTTTAGAACGACGAAGGGTGAGAGGTGACTTGATAGAGGTGTACAAAATGATCAGAGGTATAGATAGTGGACAGCCAGAGACTTTTTCCTAGGGTGGACGTAGCTATTACAAGGGAGCATAGTTTTAAAGTGAGTGGAGGTAGATATAGGGGAGACGTAAGAGGTAGGTTCTTTACTCCGAGAGTGGTAGGGGCGTGGAATGCATTGCCAGAGAGGGTAGTGGAGCCGGCCTCATTAGGGGCATTTAAATGGCTATTAGATGATAGTATATTAGATGATTTAAACGGCATATGGATGATAGTATAAGGTAGGGGAGGAGGTTAGATAGACCTTAGGTTTACGGTAAAAGTTCGGCACAACATCGTGGGCCAAAGGGCCTGTACTGTTCTGTGTTCTATCTCTGAACAGGTTGGTTAGAAAATAGTGTATTTTTTTTTTGCTAATTCTCTTCACTGGAAAACCTGAGTAAACCAGATGGGTTTTTATCTGTTGAGCACAGGAGTTGGGATGTCATGTTGAGATTGAACAGGACATTTGCGAGGAGTACTGCGTGCAGTTCTGGTCACCCTGTCATAGGAAGGATATTATTAAACTGGAGAGGGTTTAGTAAAGATGTTGCTGGGAATGGAGGATTTGAGTTATTAAAAATAGGCTGGGATATTTTTCCACTGGAGCATAGGAGGTTGAGGGATAACCTTTAGAAGTTTCTAAAATCATGAGGGACATAGATAAGATGACTAGCAAATGTCCTTTTCCTAAGGTGAGGAAGTCCAAAGCTAGGGGCCATATTTTTAAGGTGAGGAGAAAGAGATTTAAAAAGGACATGGGCAGCCTTTTTGTACACTGTGTGGATAATATGCAGAATGAACCATCAGAGGAAGTGGTTCATGCGGGTACAGTTAGAATGTTTTTTGGATAAGTACACAAATAGGAAAGGTTTGGAGGGATATGGACCAAAAGCAGGCAGGTGGGACTAGTTTATTTCGGGAACGTCGTCGACATGAACTAGTTGGACCGAAGAGTCTGTTTCCATGCTGTATGACTCTCTGACAATTGACAGTTTCATGGTTGTCAGTTTTTTTTTACATCTGCCATGGTGAGATTGAAAGTTGTGTCCCTCGACAATTAGCTTTGTGCTCTGGATTACTTGTCCAGTGTTACCAAAATTTCCACTTTGCCACCATCTTTAACACACAGGTGCCTTGCAGAGAGGCATTACAGACTCTAAGCAACATAAGGGGGTAATAGACAGATAACAAACTTGGATGCAGAGCTATTTTTATGAAATGTCTGTGAGAGAGTCTGAGAGGTGTTGCGGGTGGTACAGTTCCAGAGCTTGCAGCTAAGACACCTGAAGGTACAGGTAGCTGGGTTGAGGAATTAAAATTGGGGATGCACAAGAGGCCAGAATTAGAGGAGTGCAAAGTTCTCAAAGGCTGCAGGTCTGCAAGAGTCTACGGAGACTTGGAGAGGTGATCCCATGGAGGCATTTGGGAAAACAAGGTAAGGACTTTTGAATTGCAGTGTTGCAGGACTAGGATTCTGTTGGTTACCATAGGTGTGATGTGTGAACAGGACCTTGAAGTATGTCTGGATGAACGCAAACATATCAGCACTGGGGCAGTTGGTCTAGGGGTAACATGGGCAAATGTGATGTTTTGCAAGTTGGATGAACTGAGGCCAGGCCAGAATCAAGAAATGCTATGACAGTGAATGTAGATGGTGTTTGGATATGGTCAAAAGCTCATTTCAACGTTGAATGTGACACCAAGGTTGTGAGTAGTTTATTACAAAGTATTACCAAGATGAGGGTTAAGTCATTGACTAAGGAACAGGATTTTGAAGCAAAAATGAAAGACGGATATCCTTAATATTTCTCGTATTTAACGAAAAGAAATTTCTGTCCATCTAATACTGGATATCAGACAAGCAATGTGTGAAATAGTGACAGTAAAAGAGTTGAGGTGATTGTGAGCTAGAACTGTTACTACAGCTTGTATATGGAACCTAATAGGAGATAATGGTACACTATCAAAATATTGAACTTGAGCTACTCACTGTTAAATCTGAAAGTTTAGTAACACGTTCAAGTAAAATCAAGCACATTTGCCATTATAGAGGTTGTGTTTAGTCTTGGTACTGACCCATTCACAACCAGTGAGTGGATTCCATATTGTTTAAATATTTTTGGCTCGGATAGAATCCATTAGACATCATATCGTAGAACCATACAACAAAATTGTTTGGTCATCTGTTTCAGGTGGTTTTTTTAAACCCATGTTGATCATGATCAGTCCTTTTCTACCACTATTTAGCAATAGGTCTGTCTTTGGAAAATGAATAAAGTAAGATGTGACACTTTTTTGGAGGAAAGACAACATAGCATTAAAGTCTACTAACTGCCCAAAGTGGTGTTTGTGCAACTGTGGAATATATGGTACCATCAGTTGTTTGCGCAACAGGTACCTGCCAAGTTATACCTAGATCTTTAAATTGTGTGAAAAATCTGAGGGCATTTCTTGTTTTTATTTCGAGCTCTTTAAAGCTAAACTTCTCAGCAGTGTCATTTGTGGCACTTTGGCAGCTAGTTTTAAGGAATCATATAGGGTTGATGTAGAGAAGCTATTATTTCCACTGATTGGGCAGTGTAGACCTTGGGGTTGTGATGTAACATATTAGAGCCAGACCTTTTGGAACATCTTTTGCAAACAGAGGTTAATGTTTTAATTAGAGTTGATGGTTTTTATCAAAGATATTGAGGGTTGGTTTGTGGCCCAAAGATATATGGAGAGGACAAATCAGCCATGATTTTATTGAATGGCTGAATGTTAAGGGACTAAATGGGTTACTTCTGTTCGCGTATGATTTTTTTTTTTAAAGGAAAGCATCAAATATATAAGAAATTTGAGGGGTAAGGGGTCCCTTGGTGAAATGCAAAATGGGTTTAAGAATTGAAATGTTTAGCATAATAAGAGTTTTTTGTAGGATGCCTACATAGTTTGAACTTATTTTGCAAGTTCATCAATCATTCATAAATGATAGCTTTGTGTAGTTCATCAGCTTCTTTAATTGTTCTGTAACTACTTAATTTCAATTGCCAGGTAGAAATTTTAATGTGATAAATCAATTTAGCAAAACCGCATACATTTTAATGAAAAAATTCCAGTAAGGAACACTGTTTATTGTATCTCTGCTTTTCTTGTAAAACACTTCTTTCAGTTTTTGGCTCTTCTGCAATCACCAAGAGGATGTTTTGAGTGCCTTGCTACTGGGTTTCTGGTGTTTCAAAACGAGCTATCAAATGAGCAGGAGAAGTTGGGGATGGCATAACTCCCTGCTAAATCTCTGCGCCAGTGATCCTGTTTTGTACTCAGTGATACGGGTGGAATCAAAAATTAGATGTAATGTGGTGCACATTGGTGCTCCATTTCAAAACATTTCAATACATTTTCAATAGATTAAGGTAAAACATCCCTCTGGGGACTATTAATCTGTAGTTGCAAGTGGTTGCTAATTGTAATTATTTTCAACTGGGTTTCAGGTGGACATGAATAAAGTGAACCTAGAAGTCATCAAGCCGTGGATTACACAGAGAGTGACAGAAATGCTTGGGTTCGAGGATGATGTTGTTATTGAGTTCATCTTCAACCATCTTGAAGAGAAGGTAATGATTGGAAAAATGCAAGAGTATTTAAAAAGTTATTGTGATGTGGTTTTTCACCTGGACTTTTGGTGAAAGAAAGTTATGTAAAGTGTCAGGTTTGCTTGTTTTCTACACAGTTAATGTTGAAGACAGTATAAAACGTGGTTTAAAAAGCTGCAAGGATAGCTTTAAATATGATAGGTTTCTTTAGGGACCATTTAGCACTTTCAGCTATTTTCACAAGGGTACATTGAGAAAGTTCTCCTGACTTACTTTCTTCTGAAAATACTAATTGCGGCTTGATTTGGACTCCAAAATAAAATCTCTGGATGTACAGGGTTTTTTAAAAAGTGCTTGAGTAGCTTCATTTGAGTTCACCACCTTTGTAGTTTTCCTTACCTCAAGGAAACTAGCATGAATGTCAATTATATTCTTGAACAGTCAGCTGAATCTATTTGCATATGCATGGTTGGGTCCTCTTCCTTAAGAGCGCTTAATATACTCTTGTGAAACAGTTGAAAATATTGAATGACCCCCTCAGTTAGCCCTCAGGTAACAAAAAGAAAATCCATCTTGTATGTGTTCTTATTTGTTTTGTTGTATAATAAGCGCCTTTGACAGCATTTTTCTAATGATCGTGTGATTTATGATTTAAAAGGCCTGAACCAAAATGGATGTTATTCCGTCTGAAGTATAGCACCATCACCTTGTTAGGTCACAGCAAAGTGAATTCCAATGTCGCTCTGACCCTCCTCCCTTGATGATGCAGTGTGTGTTTGGAGGTGAGTTGTGTAAAGTGACCAGACGAAAATCCTCATGCCACTCAATGAAGAGCACTCGGACAAACTTTACACTGCTCAGAAGTAAAAAGTGGAAAGCAAAACAGTAGCCAGTCTAGATGAGGAAAAATGTACTATTGCAGATAAAATTGTTTCTGTAATCTAAAAACTGGATATGGCTTTTTAGTGAAGCTTTAGGCTTATTAATGACCAATATGAAAAAAGTACTGTTGTTTTTGAACTCTTAATTAAAATCAAGATGTTGGAACTTTTCTGGAGGGCTAATTGTTTTCTTAAAAAAAAAATACTCAAAACTTCAACTCGCCACTGCAACCCAAGGGATACTGAGACTCCATCTTTCATTTGGGGAAGAATATTTAGACATATATAGGAGGAAAGTCATGTTGATGTGGAGCTACAAATGGTACATATTGAATTTGTGCCACCGTAAGGTTCTATTTTTCATGCGACTGAAATGTATACTTAACATTCAAATGTGTCTGATCTAATTTGTCCACGTAGAAATGTTCAGGCTTTTCTTATTTTACAAATGAATAACATGACAACAGCTATACTGGTAGATAGAATCCTGTATGGAAGCAAGGTGTACATCTTGAAAGAAAGAAAAATTATCCTGTTTACTTCGCTTGAAATGTACCTCTTAATAACTGATCATGGAATGACATTGGTGGTGAATAAGGAAAGGTTTGCAGCCCAACCATGCTGCCCTCCCAGTTGCAGGAGGATGCAAGCAGCTCACAAGCAAGGCAAAATATAGTAGTGTAGATTTCCATGTTAACTCTGTTGCATTGATAGATTCAGTGTGAGTTGCCAGCATGTCTGAGAGTTCTCAGAACTACCAGAAGATTCAAAGTAGTGGTGACTCTTAATGTACTTGTTTACAAATTAAATGATCTTCTGAACATCTTTTTAAACCATAGAATGTATGCTATATATGTTTAGATATTGAACAAAATATCTTGTAAAGATAAAAATAGCTTGGCATCAGCCGTAGAATATTTCTAAAAAATTTTTGAGCAGGGTTTGTCCAAGTTTGAAGAACTGTCTTTTGCAGCCCTGTATTTACCGAATAGTAACAGACTTAGATATGTTGACTGCTATGAACATAGCCAATTCATTTAGCAGTGTTTCAGTATAGCATAAATGCACTTAGCGTAAATCTCATTTATACTTAAAGTAGCATTAGTAGATACGTAGTAGGTCATGAAAATCAGTGGAAGGATCAGCATGTAAATATCTTAGTTCATTGAATTAATACATTGTAACATAGTTTAGGTGCTTGCATGTTACTAAATATTGTAGTTTAATGTAAAAATCAGATTTGGAGAGGTAGCAACAGCTCTGCTTCACTTGGAGCATGAAGGCAAGTTTATTTAAGCAGAAGTTTAATATAAACTGTTCATTTTTCTTTTATGTGGCTGTTTACTCATTATTGCTTGTTCGTCTCTTACAATTTAGATAAATGATATAACATTATACTCAAGGTGATTGAGTTGCAGTAGGGAGTCGGAAGCAACCCAAGGGAACATCTTTCTCTACAGGGGACTTGGAACTTTGGGTTCAGGAGTCGACCAGAAGAAATTGAAGACCTCAGGACTCTGTACTTGCTTTATGGTGTTCTGACACGTTTGTGTGTTTTTTTTACTGGACCTCGTTGCTCTGGCAACCTATGTGCAGTACCCATTCACTAAAACAACAGAAGGCCTATTGGCTATTGTCAGGAAATAGTGAGAGGCAGTCTGGCCTCGTAAGTGGGATTTAAGTGTATTGTTCATATTGAAAGAAATCTTAAGAAGACAAAGATGACACTCAGCCAATTTATATAGGCTGATAGATTAGGGAAATGGTACACAGTATAGATAGAAAAAAATTAATGTAATTTGCTATTATCTAAAGCTTGAAACTGTCAATTTTGCCTTAAGAATATTGAGGTAGATTGAAAGTAGTGAAGTGGACTGCTTTTAGATTTTTCCAAATAACCTTTTTGCCTTCATCTTGTGTCTGTTGCAGAACCCAGATGCAAAGCTGATGCAGATTAATTTGACGGGGTTTTTGAATGGAAAGAATGCAAGAATGTTCATGGGGGAGCTTTGGCCATTGCTCTTGAGTGCACAAGAAAACATCGCAGGAATTCCCTCTGCCTTTCTAGAACAAAAGAAAGAAGAAATCAAGCAGAGACAGGTAATCTGGAGATCTCTTTAGATGATAGAACTAAAGTATTAGGTTGAGATCAAATATGTTAGAGGCATTTTTCTATGACTTGTAAGTTACAGATCTCACAGAAGTTTTGTAATTTGCATATATGGATAAAGGTAGTATTGTTTCTTGCCTGCCTGCTGTCAACTTCACTACTAGTATTTGCTCTGGGAATAATTTAGAATGAGGGATGGTTAGGAGTGGTGCTGTTGAAGTCCTAGTGGATGGAAATTTAAAAGAATTACTGGAATTGACATGAACTTTCACTTTTAATACTGTTGGGCTCCTGTTAAGACCCTCAATCCTAACATGTAGATGGGGATTTTAACTGTGTACCACGTCACAATCATAGCTGAACAATTCCTTATCCTGATGAACTAATTTTGTATTTGTACAATGTTAAACCTTTTTACATGATTTATAAACTATTCATGGATCCTCAAATAAGGACATTTGTTTTAATATTTCTGTTTCTACATTAATCCCATTTTGTACATCCCAATCTTTTTGGTGGCTCAGCGGTCAACACTGCTGCCTCACACTGCCAGGGACCCGGATTCGATTCCACCCTTGGGCGACTGGCTGTTTTGGAGTTTGCACGTTCTCCCCGTGTCTGCATGGGTTTCCTCCAGGTGCTCTGGTTTCCTCCCATAGTCCAAAGATGTGCAGGCTAGGTGGATTGGCCATGCTAAATTGCCCATTGTGTTCAGGGATCTGTAGATTAGGTGGGTTATGAGGGATGGGTGGGATGCTGTGAAGGGCGGTGTGGACTTGTTGGGCTGAAGGGCCTCTTTCCACACTGTAGGGATTCTATGAAAATTTATTATATTTGCTATACAGTGAGTAACAATTGAAGGATGCTGAGTGCCTTTAGAGAACATTAAGTGAATATCCCACCTTTCCCTTTTGTTTGTGTCTCTTTCTCAATTTATATCTGTAAGTATAGATATTGATGGCTGCTGTTTTAACTTTTAGCAGCAGTATAATGTGTTGATACTTAGCTGTTTGTTTTGTACTTGCATGGAGGTTTAATAGTCAGAAAAATGTTTTCCCCGTTCTAAACATTGCTTAGTTTAAAAGTGACTTGCTTCCTTATGAATCCAGGAGTTAGCTGTGTTCATTATTAACAGTGGAGCATTGAAACACCGTATAATGGAATACATATTTCCTTCTATTCGCAACTTTGTGAATTTCTTGTTGCAGATTGAACAGGAAAAGCTGGCTACCATGAAGAAACAAGATGAAGAGAAGGAAAAAAAAGACAAGGAAGACAAAGAAAATAGAGAAAAGAGGGACCGTTCCAGAAGTCCAAAGAGGTGATTAAGAATGAAGTCTGTGTTATAAGGTTATGGTTGTATTCAGTAGTTAGACAGTGTATATAATCTAGTTTTTTGATTTCAGTGTACCAATTTATATCATATGGTAATATAAGTTGCTAACAATATTGCTACTTGCTGAGTCCGTGTTTTTTCATGCATAATGCACGAGCAGTCTAGCATGATGTATCAATTACTGCCTGCCATTATTGCATGTTGTATTCCATGCTAAATAGGTATACTTGGAAGAATAAAATAACCTCTCTAGTGTCCTTTTTAATTTTACTGTCCAAAAGATTTACTGTATCCTGATGCAGTTCAGCTGTGAAATGTGTTCTAGCTAGCATCTATCATGAATATTGTGCTGAACGTACAATATTTTGGGGGTGGGATGTGGGGATGAGATGGAAATTATAATAGTTTAATTGTTTTTTTAAGTTCACCTCATTTTGTCCTTTTGTCTCAAACTAATGTCCAGTTTAGCCAACTCCCGTTTAAACTGCATTTTTTTCGGTTATATAATTTCTTCACTTACATGTTTCTTTGACCCTCTGGCTCCCCTTCTCTCTCCGTTCCTTTTTCTAAGTGTTCATTCAAAATAGCTTCTAGTTTTAAAGGAGTCTAAACCTGAGCTGTTAACTTGTCTTTTTCCCTCCATAGATGCTGCTTAGCATGTTTTTTATTTCCAGTGTGCTCTGTTCCTTTTTCGCGTTTCTAGCGTCTAATATTTTGTTCATAATGTGACTATTTATTTCAATTCTGGGCATGCTGACTGCTCCCTAGCATTTAAAACCACTCATTATTTCAGAGTGTCGTCTGCCAAATATATTGGGTTAGTGGCGGATCTGCTGAATAATGTAGAGACTGATCTCTGCTTGAAGCTTCAGTTCTAAAGCTAATTTTTTTTTAAAAAAGCATGCAATGCTGAAGTGGATGCTGTATTTCTGTTTTTTCTATTTTCTTAAAAGCACTATAAATAAATGCCCAAGGATTTGATATGGGTCTCATTTGCTTGAGGCATTTTAAAAAGGGTCATAGAAATATTGAATTTTCCTAGCCATTTCATGTATTTTAAGTCAAAATTGAAATCCTTTTGGCTTTTCTGTGCATTTCTGATCAGAAAATCAGAATATGTGAGCTAAAACAGTAAATTCCCAATGAGAGAAGCTAAATACCTTTATAACATCTTTGTATTTGTTCGATGGTCTGACAGATTTCAGTGATTTTGAAAGGTTTTTTGAAAAACAGTAATCACATCTTTTCATGAGGATTTCCTTTGGAAGCGTTTTAACAAAATCTCTTTTCTAATTATATAAAACTTTTTGGGTGTTAAATATTGAATTCACTGTTTGAGTTTTAAACAAAAATGAACTTTTTGTAGGCGTAAGTCAAGATCTCCATCACCGAGGAGGCGGTCCCCAGCAAGGAAGGAACGAAAGCATTCTCTCTCCAAGTCTCCTCGTCGTAGGACCAGAAGCCGGAGCAGAAGTGCTTCTCCAGTGTCTAATATTAAGAAACCTGAACAGCTGTCACCTGAGCCAGATCTTTCACTAAAAGAAAGGAAAGAATCTCCTGCTCCAGAGGCAACTTCAACAAGGTGAACTAGTGATTTTATTTAAGTTTCCCAACTTAGTGAGTTTTTAATATCTTGCCTACGTTGAGATTTGTAACGATCACATTAGTTTACAAAATTAAGAAGTCAATTGGAAATGAATCAGGAGATATTGTAGGCTAAGTCTTGGTACTTTGAAAGCTTTAAATTGTTGTAAACCAAGGTTATGTTTGGAGAGAAAATGGTTTTTAGGATGCCTCTTAAAAAGCTGTCGTGAAAAATGTTGAGACAGCTGAAGTATTTGATAAATTTTAATCTTCATTGATTTTTGCATACACTTCCAATCTAGAACACCAGAATTTAGGGAATGAGAGAAGAAAAAAAAACTACATTTGAAGTACGTTGGAGCTATAAATAGTAATCAGCTCCATTTGTTAGCTGTAACAACAGGTTTGAGTTGCAGTTGTAATTACGTAAGCATTTGAAACTTTTAATTAGAACAGTGCTCGTCAAACCTTTGATCGTTGGACACAGTGTAATTTTGGGAGGGAGTATCGAACGCTCATGAGGCTAAATTTAGGATTGGGCATAAGGAGGGGTTTTGTGAACACTCTAGTGCTTATAATGTGGCTTAACTAGATACGTCTGTACATGTAGTGAAGAATCAACATATTGACTTTCTGCTGTTGAATAGTGATATTCTGAAGGAAATCAAACCTGTGATACCAGAGGTGAAGGAAATTTTATTAGAACAGCCGACAAAAAAGGAGAAGGAAAGAAAAGAAAGGAATCGACATCGATCACGGTCGCGGTCAAAATCGAAGTCCAGGTCCCGTTCACGCTCTCATTCACGGGCAAGGAGGCGTCCTCGGTCTCGATCAAGGTAAATTATTTTCCTTTCTCCCTCTTTGTTAATAGACATCATAGCCACATTTTTACATTTTGGATTACATATTACAATTGCAATATTTCAGGTCGTATTCACCTCGAAGATGGCCCAGTCCAAGACGGAGGTCGCCTCCTCCTCGAAGGAGGAGTCCACCAAGGCGTCTGCCGCCACCGCCCCCTCCATCCAGGCATCGAAGGAGTCGGTCACCTATTAGAAGGTATGTTTTAATTTCAGATTTCCTTAAGAACTGTAATAAAAAAAAATACTACTCATTCACAGTAATAACTTGAAACATAGAGCTGGTCTTAAATGTTCAGTATACACTTTAAATTCAGTCTGTTGAGTTTGAAAAATAGAACAAGTAAAGTGAATATTTTGGAAAGCTCTAAGATCTGTGCTTTGTACTATTTTCATTAAATATATTAGCTATCCTACTGAGCAGTTTTCTATAACATTAAAAATTACCACCAGTGTCTCTCTCTCTTAGTTGTCCAATACTGTGTTGCCTGTGCTAAAGAATTCGAGGAATCCAACAATGTTAAGGCAGAAGCCTAAGACTGAGGTTGTGAATATGCAATCTACTTTTTGGAGTATACAACAGACATCAAGTTCTGCAAATCAATTTTACTTCTGAGCAAAATTGCTGTTCTCCATTTCTTTACTCAAATAATTTTCAAAAGACAAGTGATTGGAACAATTATGAAGCAACCTTCTGAAACGAAAACCTTTCCAATTTATGCTTTGTGTGTAAAATAGGGTATCTCTATGATTTTTGCTATCTGGTAATAACTGACATAGCATCAATATGCCAAATATTTGCAATTCACTCACCCAGAGCCTCGTATTAGAAATGGCCATGAAGTCTTGTATTAGAGCAGGACTCCTGCTTTTCAAGGGCCAGAATCTTGACCACCTCAACGATGGCTAGTAGTGTAGGAGGAGCTGGCTGTGTGGAAACTTTCCTGGCCTGGAGTTCGCCCACCTTTAGTTGGTCAAAAAGGCTTCCTTGGGATGGGCTCAGATCATAGTGAGAGATATACAGAACAGAAACAGACCCTTCGGTCCAACTTGTCGTGCTGACCAGGTATCCTAAATAAATCTACTCCCATTTGCTAGCAGTTCGTAAATCTTTCCTATTCACATACCCATCCAGATGCCTTTAAAATATTGTAATTGTACCAGCCTCCACCACTTCCACTGGCAACACATTCCGTACACGCACCACCCTCTGTGTGGGAAAAAAAGTTGCCCTTAGGTCCCTTTTAAATCTTTCTTTTCTTAATACCTTGTAGTTCTGGACTCCCCCACCTTGGGGAGAAAACCGAGCCTTTTTACACTATCCATGCTGCTCATGATTTTATCAACCTCTACAAGGTCACCGCTCAACGTCTAACACACCAAAGAAAATAGCCCGGATCTATTCAGCCTCACCTTAAAGCTCAAACCCTCCAACCCTGGCAGCATTCTCAAATCTTTTCTGAACCTTCATATTTCACAACATCTTTCCTGTAATAGGGAGACCAGAATTGCGCGCAGTATTCCAATAGTGGCCTAACCAATGTTCTGTAAAGCAGTATCATGACCAATTCCTGTGCTCAATTTACTGACCATTAAAGGCAAACATACCAAATGCCACCTTCGCTATCCTATCTACCTGTGACTCCACTTTCAAGGAACTATGAACCTGCACTCCAAGGTCTCTTTGTTCTGCAACAGTCCCCAGGACCTTATCATTAAGTATATACAGTCCTGCCCGGATCTGCCTTTCTAAAATGCAGCACCTCACGTTTATCTAAATTAAACTCCATCTGCTACTTTTCAACCCATTGGCCCATCTGATCAAGAACCCGTTGTACTCTGAGGTAACCTTCTTTGCTGTCCACTACACCTCCAATTTTGGTGCCATCTGCAAACTTAGTAACCATACCTCTTGTGTTCACATCCAATCATTTGTATAAATGACGAAAAGCAATGGACCCCGCACCGATCCTTGTGGCGCACCGCTGGTCACAGGCCTCCAGTCTGAAAGCAACTCTCCACCACCACTCTGTGTCTTCCACCTTTGAGCCAGTTCTGTATCCAAATGGCCAGTTCTCTCTGTATTCCATGTGATCTAACCTTGTTAACCAGTCTACCATGAAGTACCTGGGCGGCCTCCAAGTTTGAAGTAGTGCCGCTAGGTCTAGACTGACCACAAGGAAACATCCTTTCCATGTCCACCTTGTTGAGACCATTCAGGATCTTGTACACTTCAGTTAAGACCCCCCTCACTTTTAAACGTAAACAGTCCTTGGCTGTCCAACTAGTCATCACATGCCAGTGAACTGTTTCTAGGTATCAATCTAGTAAACCTCCTCTGAGCCACCTCCAATGTATTTGCATCCTACCTTGCATAAGGAACACAAAAGTGCGCGCAATATCTGTGATGTGATCTCACCAATAGGCATAATATCCTTTTATGTTTAAATCCTCTTGCAGTAAAGGATACCCTTTTAGATTGCATGCTGTACCTGCATGCTAATATAAAACAAAAATTGCGGATGCTGGAAATTTGAAACAGCAGAAATTGCTGGAGAAACACCGGTCTGGCAGTATCTGTAGGGAGAAAGCAGAGTTTCTATTTTGAGTGTGGTGACTCTTCATAAGAACACACAGTTCTGAACTCAACAGTTAACTCTGCTTTGTCTCCACAGATGCAGCCAGACCTGCCGTGTTTCTCCAGCAGTATCTGGTTTTATGACTTATGCTCCAGAGCACCTAGGAATTGTGCAGTTGTTCTCCATTTTACTAATGCTCTTCCTGCTAAAGTGAAGAATTTCTCATTTTTTCAAGTTACTTATCATCTGTCAGATTTTTGTCCACTCTGTCAACCTGTCTATATCTGTATGCAATCTCCTCCTTATGTCTTCATGGTGTGCCATCTGCAATTTAGCTATCTTGCTTTCTGTCCCCTCATCGAAGTCATTTGTCAATTGCGATAAGTTTAGGCCCAACATAGACCCTTGTGGGACTTGACCAATCATATCCTGCCAATCAAGGAAGGAGTCATTTATGTACTATTTTCTGCCAGCTAAGCAGCCAGTCTTCTATCCATGTTAAATTATTACCTCTTTCAGCCCTCTTTTTGTTTTTCCCCTCCCCCAAAAAATCCCCTGATGCATTGCTGTGACTGTAGTTTGGCCTCCAATTCAAAACCCTGAACTGAAGCTCTTTGAATTTCAAGAGTTAATGCAGACGTGTTTGCACTGGAATGCAGTGGTTTCTGGGAGCTCCCATATGCTGCAGTCTTGATACATCACCTAAACTGCTAGTCTTAAAGTTTTAATCATTTAATATTGTTATTCACTTGTTTATGTCGCCTATGTGTTTTATTAACTTTACCACCAATTAGTAAACTTGCAATGTAAGGATGGAAAAGACCTTAATCACTTACCATGATTCACAAAACCGCTAGATTCTTTATTTCTAATTGGAATTGGTTCTTGCCATACGAGCTCTCATGAATCTAGCTCTTTCTCTGCCTGCGACAGTGTCCTTTTCTCACCTGTTTCTCTTTATGATGCTGACTACTTGTCTTGGGATCTCACCTGGCCTGTTCCTTTTGATGCTAACTGCGGATTGGGCTGTCTTCTCACCTACTTCTCTAGGTGATGCTGATTCCCTGTCTCTGGTTTCTTCCTCGTCCCTTCCATGTGATGCTGGTCACCTGTCTTTGGTGTTCTCTTCTGTCACGCTGTACCATATTGGATAGCTGCCCTGAAAAATGAGGCATTATGTGTGTAAATTATCCTTGTATTGAACCATTCTCAATTTCAATCAAACCAGCAGTGAAGGCGGAGGTTGGCAGTAGTAAAAATTTGAAAACTAGTTATATGGTGTGTTTCAACTTCATTCCCACAGGCGCCGATCTCCTTCAATTTCTTCCTCTGGCAGTAGTTCCTCTTCCTCTTCCAGATCGAGGTCACCTCCAAAGAAAACAAAACGCGTGTCAATCAGTCCGCCCCGGAAACCTCGCCGTTCTTCTCCATCTCCTGCTACTCCACCCAGGAGGCGACATAGGTCACCAGTGTCTGCAACAAGTCCAAGTCATAAAGGACCACGGTTGTCATCTCCTCCACATATGAATCGTTCAAGGAAAGGTTATACTTCTGTATCTCCTGCTAGGCCAGGTAAGTTTTATCCAGATGATCCTTCACTTTGTACGGGTTGAGGTGATCTTAAGTTAGAACATGTTTTTGCAACCCAGATCTAGCTAGCTGTTTTTTCCTCACTGAAGCAGTAGACTGGTTAGTAAGATTTGAAAGTCAGTTCTTTCACCTTTTCCTAAAGTGTGCAACTTGAAATGCAACCTTAAACCAGTTATTTGATTTTATTTTAGGGAGTACCTTCATTCTATTAGAATTTCATCCATACTGTCCTTTTAAAAAAAATAAGCTGCAGGTAAAAGGGTGTTAGAATTTTCAGACATTCGATCTTTGTACTATTTAGACTATTAAAATTACTTCTGTTACAGCACCTAAACGGAAAGGGAGTGTGAAGCATGAATCTGTTTCGCCCCCTCCTAAACCAAGACGATCAGAACCATCAGACTCAGGTTAGTATTATCACATGTTGATGTTTAAAAGTGGATGAGGAGAAATCAAATTGCTATTGGCTGCCTTGTAGCAAGTAGTAATCAAAGAAATATATTAAGTGCTTTACCAGGTAAAAGCAAGGTAACGTAAAGTCCCTCCCCCCCCCCCCCCATTGTTTTTTTTGTTTGTTTAGTAATTTCTTTTTGTAATTTTTGTTCCAATGTCACCTCTTTAATGTTATCTCTTGGAGAGGTTAACAATGTTTGTTTTTATTTTTGTTCAGAATATTATTTTCATTCTACAATTTTATTTTTTCCCTCTTGAGTTAAATCAGATGGTTTGTAAACTTGGTGCCCTGCTTGATGCTGATCTGGACTCCTGATTCATATATTTCCATTGTGAAGACACAATCTGCTGTTTCTGCCATTTCATCAGATCTGCTGAAACCTTCATTTACATTGTTATCAGCTCCAGATTCTCTAGTCAACTATTCATTGGGCGACACAGTGGCTAGCATTGCTGCCTCAGCGCCGGGGACCTGGTTCGATTCCACCCTCGGGCGACTGCCTGCATGGAGTTTGCACGTTCTCCCTTTGTCTGCATGGTTTCCTCCCATAGTCCAAAGATGTGCAGGCTAGGTGGATTGGCCATGCTAAGTTGCCTGTAGTGTTGAGGGATGTGGGGGTTCGGTGGGTTATAGGTGGATGGGTCTGGGTGGGGTGCTCGGAGGGTCAGTGTGGACTTGTTGGGCCGAAGGGCCTGTTTCCGCACTGTAGGGATTCTCTGATTCTATGATTCTGGTGCTAGACTAACTAATTGCCTAATCTCTGCCCTGTGCAAATGTCAGTTCATTCCAAAAATTTGTTGCCAGCTTTCTCGATTTACCCTTAATTCTATTATCATATAGACATTTTAAATTAAAGGGACTATCTTTTTTGGAATTCCCTTAATTACATGTGCCTCGCAATCTCTAATCTCTAGTCCCACACTTGTCCCCAACCTCCTGTTCTGTGTAGCCTATGTGCCCAAGCATCCAACTTGCTCATCAATGATAACCATACCTTCAGCTGTTTGTATGGTGGAATTTCCCAACATTTCCTTACTCAGCCTTTTTTAAGGCTGTCAATAAAACTACTTTGATCAAGCTATCGGTAACACTTGCAGGTGGCTCTTTCTTTGGCTTGGCAGTCTTTAAATCTTGTACCTTATGGTTATTTCCTTTGATAAGATGTTTAAGAATTCATTTTGATGCAGTGGTGCCAGCAAAATTCCATTTATTGCCTCAAGTAAATATTTTGCTGGGCTGTATTGAACCATTGCTGTCACGATGCTGTTGGGAAAGGTGTTACTAAGATTTTAACATGTGATAATGAAGGCACCGTGACCAGAGGATGCTCATGTTGGAGCTGTCAACATTATAGGGTACCGATCCGGTAGACTGATTGACCTGAGGATAGTATTGCTCTCCTTTAGTGCTATAGAGAGTCACCTGTTCAATCAAGATCCTGCTCTTTCACAGGACAGACTGGGTATGTCCTTAAATGCTGTGGGGTAGAGGTTAGACTGTTGTTGTATATAGTCCTTACCTGACACTTGAGTGACATGATTGTTATGTAACATCAAAGTGTGCTGTATATGTGTATGGACTATTTCCATTTCTGAGGATTTGCAACTGGACTCATGTAGCAGTCATTAGCGAAGAGCCTTATAACAGATATGGTCATTAATGAAGGAGCAGTTGATGCTTTAGCCTAGAATGCTGCCTAGTGGAGCTGCTACACTAATGCCATAGCTTTCCACAGTTTGCCACCATCTTCCTTTGTGTCAGATATGACTCTATACTTTAGAGTCTTTAGCCCATGAAGCCCATTGATAACTGCTTTGCTGGGATGCCTGGGACCACACCCTGGCAAATGTTGCCTTTGATATCCAAGGCAGTCAGTCTCTGATACCTTCATGTTTGGACAAAGACTGTAATGAGGTCTGACAGTGGGCAGCTCTGGAAGAACCTAAACTCTGGGAGCAAGTAATGAGAAAATGTCACTTGATGGCAATGACTCCTTCCATCAAATTGATGTTTAGGAGTACACTGATGAACTAGTAATTGACCGTTGTGAGTTGCCCTGATTCTGTGACCAGGACATGACAAGAACATTACCAGAACATCCATATCATAACATCTTGGATAAGGCCACAGCTAGTCCTGAAGTATATGGCTTCCTGGTCATTCCCACCAGTGCTAGCTCTCTAATTCTAGGTTTGTTTTGTTACTTGTTATTAAAATGCAATGATGTGGTCCTTTGGGCTAAAGAGCATCTAATGTTTTTTTCCCTCATGATCATTTCTGATTTTTCCCAGTTGCAGCACGTACTGCAAAATTGAAAGCACTTGTGATAAATTAAAGTCATAAGAATGCAGGTTATGAAGCAGTTATTAGATTCCTTTATTGTTGCAGAAGATGATAAAGGAGGTAAAACTGCAGGAGTGGAATCAGTGCAACAGAGACGCCAGTACCGCAAACAGAACCAGCAGACCTCTTCAGGTGAGATTCTTGACCAATATTTTATATAATGTTGCATTTATGGTTTTTAAAAATTACACTTGACCTTTTGGCATTGAATGTTTGAAGATTCAAATGAATTTATATGATTAAAGATATAACTTGGTACAGGAATGGTAGTAGCGAAGAGTTAGTATTTGCACTTGCTATTAACATTTTTCACTCCTTTATACAGAATTATTGTGGAATTCAAGTCTACAAGAATATTTGCAGGATTTATTTAAAATTCCTATTGAATGGATATTTGAAGATTACCTGCTAATTTCCATTGTCCACTCATGGTTCCCTTCATTATAAGAAATAATTGAATTTTCAGTGCAAATCTTCTTGAATAATTGATGCATTGGTACTCCAAAGTATTATCCACTGTCATCGTAGAAATCTGGAACTGTGATAACTGGACTACTTAGCTTTGCTCAAGTCTGGAGATTTCACATCAGAAGTTCAAATTAGCCTTGAAAATGAACGAGTAAAGAACTGAAGCAAATTATTATATTTGGAGCAGGGATTTTAGCTACTGAAAAGGACCATGAATAGATAATTGTAGAATTCTTCTCTCTGCTTCTGTAATTGTTACATTGTTTTGTAGTTTCAATCACAACCTTACTTTATGGGAACTTACAAGTTTTTATTTCAAGTGGACAGTTTGCATGAGAGTTGCTAGGATATTTTCGGTGCATCCAGTACTGCCAGTTCAGATACTTTGCCAGCCAAATACTGGTTTATTTTTAAAAAAACAAGGAACTTGGCTCTTAATTGGATATTAAACCAAGTCGTAGCACTGGATCAGGTTCTTAGAATTTTCAACAAAAACTGTACAGAGCAGCAGTTAAGTTAGTTGCAGTGAAATGGCTGGATGCAGTAACTGTGTAATTGGCTTCCTTTTAGTTCTTGTGTTCGTTATGTTGCTCGTTACAGTTTTTATCCTTAATTCGTGACAATGGAAAAAATACCTGGGGGAAGGAAAGGTGGTGTCGATATTTCCCAAGAAAATGTGACACCGTTCATTCTGAACACTGAATTGTGATTGCCAGAAACCATTTACAAATGCTGGCTAATTTTTTTCATTATTGGAAAGTTGAGACAGAGATACGAGATTAGGTTTGGAACTAAAACTGCTTACAATATGATGGATTTAAATTATCAGGACTATTTGGTTCGTGATTGATATGTTTCAGAGTATAATTAGTGATGCTGGGAATCAGTTATATCTATGGAGAACTGGGGGAAAGCTTAATTTAAAACTGCTAAAAATGTGATAGAATACAATTCAAAAAGCCTACGTTAATTGTAATTCAGAGAATAGGTCATGTTTATCAAAAGGCTGAACTATGTTGATTTAAATGGTTAGAGTAGACGGTAAGGCTTTTAAGCAGCAAGTGGAGCAACTTAAACCAAGGAAGACCTTTTTTAATCTATTCATTTAAGGAGTGTGAGCTTCACTGGCTGGACCATCATTTAATTGCCTATTCAAATTGCCCTGGAGAAGGTGGTGGTGGTGAGCTGCCTTCTTGAACTATTGCAGATCTTGGAGGTTAGGAACACCTACGGTGCTGTTAAGTAGGGAGATCCAGGATTGTGATCCAGTAACAATGAAGGAATGATGATTATAGTTCCAAGTGGGGGTGGTGACATCATGAAGGGGAACTTGCAGGTGATGGTGTTCCCATGCATCTGCTGCACTTGTCCTTTTTTTTTATGGTGGTCACAATTTTGAAAGGTGATGTCGACGGAGCCTTGGTGACTTGTTGCAGTGTCTTGTTGATGGAACTCATTGCTGCCATTGTGTCATCGGTGAATATTGAGAATGGTAGATGTGATGTCAATCAAGTGACTGTACTAGATGCTGTCAAGCATTTTGAGTGTTGCAGCTGCACCCATCCAGGCGAGTGGAATATATTCAGTCACATTCCTGACTTGTGCTTGCTAGTTTGTGGGTAGGTATTGGGGTGACGGGGTTAGTTACTGCAGAATTCTTTATTCTTTTTTGGTCATAATTTGTATAAGGGTTATCCACTTTATCTTCTGGTCAATGGTAAGCCCCAGGATCTTGAAAGAAAGGGATTCAGCAATAATGCGTTTGAATGTCCAGGGGCAATAGTTAGATTCTCTTGTTGGCGATGGTCATTGCCAGCAAAATTTGGATATGGCCTGCTTCAGTATCTGAAGATTTGGAGACGATGCTGAATGTCAGACAGTTATCAGTGAATATCCCCACGTCTGACCATCTGATGGAAATAAGGTAATTATAGCTACTGACTGTGTTTGTGCCTAGGATAGAACCCTGAGGAATTCCTGCGGTAGTGATGTGGAACTGAGATGATTGACTTGCACCTACCAGAACCATCTTCCTTTGTGCTTTCGAGCCAGTGGACAGTTTCCACACGATTTTCCATTTCCTCTAGTTTTGTTCGTTCTCCTTGATGTTGTATACTGTGCAGTGCTGCATTGATGTCAAAGGTAGTCACTTTTGCCTCACCTCTGGAATTTTGTTCCTTTTGTCCATGTTTGGACTAAGGCTATAAATGAGATAGGAGACAAGTGGCTCTGGTCTAAACCAGACTGAGCCTCAGTGAGCAGGTTGCAGATGCCCCTCCATAGCACTGTTGATGAATCTTTCCGTTGTATTATTGATAGAGTAGATTGGGTGGTAATTGGCTGGGTTAAGTATGTCCATGGGCAGGAGATACCTGGGTAGTTTTCCACACTGTTGGGTAGTGATAAATACTGAAACAGCTTAGCTAGGAGTGTGACTTGGCTTGGAGCATAGGTCTTGTATATTTTTGCCAGAATATTGTCAAGGGCCTTTTGGTCTTCTAAGTATCCACTTCCGCTATTTGGATTCACTCCATGTGAAATCAAGAATTGATTGATGGCTGGCAACTTTGATGCTGTAGACTTTGTGAGGCCAAGATTGACCTTGCACATGGCACTTCTGGCTGAAGTTGGATGTAAATACTTCAACCTTAGTTTCTGTATTGATGTGCTCGGCTCATCCATCACTAAGCATGTGCATGTTAGTGGAACCACCATCTCCTGTTAGTTCATTTGGCTGCCACTTGTGGCTGGATGCAGCAGAACTGCAGAGCTCAGATCTAATCTGTGAGTAGGGTGATCATTTATCCTGTTTGGCATGCAATGAGATGCAACAAAAATTAATAACTTTCTCATATGCTTTGCTTTATTTTAATTCTTGGGAAGTAAAAAGTAAACCTGTGTACAATATATATGCTTATAAACCTTAGCATTAACTTAAGCATACTTTGTTTAATTTGTTTTATAGATAAGATTTCACACTTTTGTTATTCTCAAATTTATGGCATACTTGTTAATTCTCTTAGTGTTTAGATTTCTCATTAAATATTAACGATCCCTAACAGGATCATAACAAAAAACCATATTCAGCTGTGTAGGTGGCTAAAACACAGAAATAAGTGGTCTAAAATTTGGGTGCATACCAATGTAAGTTTCAAACTTCAGAATTAAAATACATTGTTATATTGCTAGGTAGTTTCTAAAGGGATTGCTGTTTGAATATCAAACATTGTTGCTGTTAAAATGGAGTATTTAAGAGCATCTTGCATTGATAAGGCACGTTTCCCACCCTTGGACATTGAACATGGTTTTACAACCAATGAAACTTTTTCTTAGTTTCTATTGCTAAGGTAGGAAAAGTGGCAGTCAGTTTTCACACAGCAATCTCAGGTGTGATAATGACCAAATAATCTGTCTTGCTGAAATGTTAATTTGAGGGCTGAGTATTGTCCGGAACGCCAGGAATAACTCCTTGACCGTTGAAGAGGTGATATCAAATTTTTAACATTCGCTGGGTGGCTGTTCTTCAGCTTAACATCTCACCTGAGTAATGGCATCTCCAACAGTGTAGAGTGTAGCAGTCTTTCAGTACTGCATTGGAGTGTCAGTTTTTGATTTTTGTATTCCACGTATTTTGTATTCTGAACCAGAACTTGAACATACAACCTTCTGACTCACTATGTTCAGATGTTGTTTTTTGTCTAATAAATATTGTGAATAGGAAAAAAGGCCTTCTGAAGGTATTTTCTAGAACACATGATAACTGTTACTTTATAGTAGATAAGTTAACAAATAATTATGATAACTAGACATTTTAAGCATTGTGGAATTATGAAAGGCAAATCATGTTTGACATCCCTGTCAGTGTTTTTGACTGTGCTCCGAGCAGAATGGATAAAAGGGAATCTGTTGATATGTTGTATTTGGATTTTTAGAAGGCTTTTGATTAACTCCCACATAAATTTCAAACAGAATTTGTTCACCACGGAGAATATGTTGACAAGATTGAGGGTTGATTTAATGGAAAGAAAATAGAAAGCAAGAATAAACACATTCTCAGATTGGCATTCTGTGACTGGCATGATATCTTGGCTATCGGTGTTTGGTCCCCAGCTGTTCACAGTCCTGTATCAGTGATTTTCATGTGGAGACCAGATGTAATAGTTCCAGATTTGTGCATGACATAAAATTAGATGGAAACATGCATTATGAGGATAATGCAAAGAGGCTGCATGGGAATTTGGTTAAGCTGATTTAATTGGGCAAGAATACAGTCGATGGAATATAATGCAGATCAGTGATAGATTAACCACTTTGGGAGGAATGGAGGTGAAGAGTATGGAGAAGTTGGGAAATGTGATGTTCAAACGGGCCTAGGTGTCCTTGTATGTAAGTCATTAAAAGCTAACGTGCACATGCATTAGGAAGCAACACAGAACATTTGTTTTCATTGCAAAAGGATTTTGGGTACTGGGGCAAAAGGATGTTTTGTTTCAATTATTTAGAATCTTAGTCAGACTGCAGCTGAAGCTTTTTATGCAGTTTTACTCCATGCCTAGAGGTTCACTGGATCAAATCTTAGGATGATGGGATGTCGTGTGAGATTAAGTTTAGGAGACTGCGCCTATGTTCAGTCAAGTTTAGAAGAATGAGAGAAGAACTTCCAAGCATACAAAATTCTTAAAGACAGGGTAGATGCAGGAAGGATGTTTCCCCTGGATGGGGTATCCAGAGCCAATGGACACAGTCTGAGAATAAGGGCAAGCCATTTAACCCTGAGATGAAGAGCAATTTCTTTGCTCAGGTTGGTATATCTTGGAATTCTCCACCCCAAGGAGAATGGGAAGAGCTTACCATTGAGGTAGATGATCAGCCATGATGAAATTGAATGGCAGAGCAGGCTTGAAAGGGCTGATTAGCCTTCTCCTATTCTTATGTTTCATTTCGTATGTATTTTAAAGTGGTTTAAATATGTGCTGCACTCAATTTCTGCAGATGAGCTCCACATTGAGCCAGCTTCTAGTGAAGACCTTTATTAAAAAAGGCAGCTTTAAGGATACAGAAATACTTTAAAAGAAATCCTTACTGGTGAAACCTGAATTATATAGTCATAGATATATACAGCATGGAAGTAGACCTTTTGGTCCAACTCGTCCATGCCGACCAGATATCCAAAATAAATCCATTCCCATTTGCCAGCATTTTGCTCGTAACCCAGTAAACCCCTCCTATTCATATACCTATCCAGATGCCTTTTAAATGTTGTAATTGTACCAGCTTTCACCACTTCCTCCGGCAGCTCATTCCATACACACCACCCTGTGTGTGAAAAGGTTGCCCTTTGGGTCCCTTTTAAATCTTTGCCCTCTCACCTTAAACTTGTGTCTTCTAGTTTTGGACTCCCCAACCCCAGGGAAAAGACCTTTGTCTGTTTACACTATCCATGCCCCTCATGATTTTATAAACTTCTATAAGGTCACCCCTCAGCCTCTGATGCTCCAGGGAAAATAACCCCAGCCTATTCAGCATCTCCCTGTAGCTTAACCCCTCCAACCCTGGCAACATCCTTTGTAAACCTTTTCTGAACCCTTTGAAGTTTCACACCATCCTTCCTATAGTAGGGAGACTAGAATTGCGCACATTATTCCATAGTTGCCTAACCAATAGCCTGTACATCCTTTAACATGACCTCCCAACTCCAGTACACAATGCACTGACCAATAAAGGCAAGCATATTAAACACCACCTTCACTATCCTATCTGTCAGTAACTTCATTTTCAAGGAACTATGAACCTGCATTCCAAGGTCTGTGTTCTGCAACACTGCCCAGGACCTTACCATTAAGTGTGTGAGTCCTATCCTGCTTTGCCTTTCCAAAATGCAGCATCTCACATTTATTTAAATTAAACTCCATCTGCCACTCCTCAGCCCATTGGCCCATCTGATCAAGATCCCATTGTACTCTGAGGTAAGAGTGGATTTTTTAATAATAGTTTTATTGAGACCTGTCTCTTGATTAAACTTTAAAAATATTACACATAGATACTAAGTTAGCCTGGATTGGTCTTTATCTTTTAGAGCGGTAAAGCTGTGCTATTTTCTGGGTCTGTAGATTGTTAAGGTGCAAAGATGACCTTTAGTAGAGTGATGTGCTCTTCCTGTCAGATGTGGGAGATTAGGGAGAGTTTCCATGTTACTGATGATTATTGTTGATTTATTTTTACTTGTGTAAGTATCTAAATATGATACATTGCATCAATTTTGTTTGAGCGAATAGGCTGGGCTATTTTTGCTGGAGTGTTGGCGATTGAGGTGGTGACCTTATTGAAGTTTGTAAAATCATGAGGGGCAGGGATAGAGTGAATAGCCAAGGTCTTTTCCCCAGGGCAGGGAAGTCCAAAAGCAGAGGTCCTAGATTTAAGGTGAGAAGGGAAAGATTTAAAAGGGACTTAGAGACATTTTCTCATGCAGAGGACGGTGCATGTATGGAATGAGCTGCCAGAGGAAGTGGTGGTACAATTACAATATTTACAAGGCATCTGGATGTGTACTTGAATCGGAAGGGTTTAGAGGGATGTGGGCCAAATGCTGGCAAATGGGACTAGATTAATTTAGGGTGTCTGGTCGGCATGGAAGGGTCTGTTTCCTCACTGTATATTTCTGTGACTCTACTGTTTGGGCTATCGTGATGAAGGCTAATGATACATTATTGTTTGGATACTTGGGTTCTGAAGTGGGGAAAAACATATCGAGCTTTGAGTTTGATTTGTATTTCTGATGTTGTCAGTTAAGAGTATTTCGTTTTAATTTTCAGTTCTGTTGATGATGTCTGAAATTTTGCTTACATGAATCTAAATGAATCTTTGAAAATTCTTGAGATGATCAGATCAGTGCCTTAGCTACAACAAAAAAGAATCAAGAAATTGGCTGTTGCTTTGCAACAGGATGTCCTTTGACATAGAGAAAGAGGCAGAAACAGGTTTCCCTTTAAAGAAAACCTCCAAAAGGTTGTTTCTGTCAGGGAGTTTGCAGGTTTCTTTCAGAGCAAAAGGCCTCTATTACCAGTAGTGCAGTTTGGCTTTGCTTCTTTTTGTTCCATTTCTTAAGAATGCTAATATGATTTCTATTTACTCTGCAGTTTTGTTTTAACCTGTTGTTATGAATGATATGTGCTTTATTGCAAATTAATTTTGTCATTTAATAAAATATCACTAATACAGAGTCAGGATCTTCATCTTCATCTGAAGATGAAGCCCCAAAACGGTCAAGTGCAAAGAATGGTGAAGTTCGAAGAAGGCGCCAGCGTTCATTGTCGCGGAGTATATCTCCACCTCCTGCAATGCGAAAACGACACAAGGATTTTTCACCGAGGTAAAATGCAAAAGTTTCTGTTATTGGGATGATTTTTTTGTTGTATTACCTTTTGAGTTCAGCAGTATGGAAGACATTTAGTTATGTTTTAGAGTTTGTATTTTGAAGTGTCCTGTATCACCATGCATTTTTTGGATAATATGTTCTTAATATTTGGCTTGGTGTAATCACTTCTCGTTCAAATTTTGCTGTGCCTCCCTTCCAAATTACATGAACATATTCCCATTACTGCAATCTAATGTTTGAATTTTGAATGTGACTTCAGAGTGCATCCTCTGTTGCTGTGAGACTGCATTTTATTTCGAAGTAAAAGCCCAGTGTTGGGGATGTGGTAAGATTTTTTATGCAATGCAGGTTGAAGAATAATTCTGTTTTTGCTCCTTTTGGTCCTAAGTGCATCCAAACTACCACTGTAAATTGTGAAATAAGATTTCTTTTTTCTTGAGATTTGTGTAGGAGAATGCATACAAGGACCATATTAGTAAATGATTAAAATCTCATTGTTAAAATCACTTATTGTTAAAATCTGAATTAAACAATTCTGAGCTGAATTTCTTGCATTATTGTAGGTATTTCTCTTGTTTTAGTGATTTTCTTTTTCACGTTATGAGAACACATTCAAAACCAGGTTACACAAAGGGAATCAATAACCTTGAACAATTCTTTTTTGTTTCCAAACCCAATTAAAAAATTTCTTCCTACTTGCAAAGCAAAATTGCACATTTGAACTTCCAAGTTACCCTGCTGAAGGTGCACAGAGCACTTCATTTATAAGAGCTCTTTTGCTTTATTAAAGAGGTCTTGACTCATCTGGTGCCTCATTGAGTAGTTTGGAATTTGCACTTCCCTTTATGCTGTTTAAATAAAATGTTGAACTTTCTACATTAGGGCAGATGAAATAAATGAGAAGTTTTTGAAAGTAGCACTTTCTTAAAATTCAAAAGTGGTAGTAAATAAAAATTTCATAAGTGAAGATCCTCTTTATTTCATACCCAACTTTTCTAATTTATTCTTGCAGAAGATTCCAGTACTTGTGTAAAATCAAAGTGCACAGTAAATAAGAACAGTATTTTTAAACTGACTGCAACTCTAATGAGTGTTGTAGGGTGGATTGGGAGTTGCTACTTTTAGCTGAACCGGTAGATGCAGCGCCAGTCAGAAGCTGGGTATCTGGCCTGGTGAAGATAAGTCACCCTTGTTCCACATCAGATTACACTTATCATTTCTTGCAGATTGGGCTTTAAAGACCACTGTCAACTGCTCTCCCTGGCCAGTTTTCAGTGTGAGAGACGTAGAAAGAAGTTTGGAAGGTTATATGTTTTTTTAAAAAGTATAGTAATTAATGAACTAAATTAATCAGAGAGGTACTGTCTGTATGAATTATTGGTTTAAGATACTCCGTTAGAGGTTGATCTGTGAAAAAAACACAGCTTGGTTTTGTTTTCTCTTGCTATCAGGATGCCGCTCGGAAAGAGGTGGCACTTCCCAGTGGCGAAAAGGTTGGTTTGAAAATGAGTTGCTGTCTGATCACTGAAACCTTTAGCCTGTTTAAGGTTCCTTTAATTAGCAACCCCAGCCCAACTACTAATTAGTCGAATTATTGCCCAGCATATCAGGCAATGCAGTCCAGTTTCACTGGAATGCTACAGTAATTATGCATCAAATTTTCAAATGAACAGGAAATTTTATAGCACTCAATTCTTGGGATGTATGCTTGAAATTGATTTTTTGAAATTGATGACATTTTGCAAATGGGAACTTTAAACTGAACTGCAAAGAACTAATTCAATGTGGATTATCTGCTTTTGATGAATTAAACCTGCAAATACTTGGGGAAATACAAATACAGTGGAACCCACTTATACCAAATTTGCCAAGATTAATATCGAGGATTACAAAAATAATCAAAAACAAAATTAAAATCCAAGGATAAAGTAAAGAATTCTAGAAATATATTTCAAGTATAAAAACAAGAGAATTTGGAAATCAGGATTACTTGCATGTAGATCTAATTATAGAGCCAATCTTTTTGTATCAAAATATTTTCTAATTTACTGGTCCAGGACCTCAACACTGAAATTTCTAATTCCAGTTTTTTGAGTGAGTTTTATAGATATCAGTATTTATAAGTAGATACCATCCTTATGTCTACCTAAAATACTGTCAACTAGTTTTCAGTAACCCTTTTCTTTAATCAACTTCGGCCACATACATCCCAACCAAGTTTATTGATTCATGATAAATGTACCAACTGATTCCTTCAAATATGTAAACGGAACTAAAGAGTATCTATAACCAGTGGAATTCCTGATTTTTGAATGTAGAGCAGTATATATTTCTAGGAAAGTGTAGATTAGCGTACATAGAGTAAATGCAACCAGAGTGCTTTCATTTTGAATGTAAAGTTGTTTGGGACAAAGGAAAGGCACTCTGCAGAAATGTGGTTTGGTCTTTGAATTGGATACAAGAAGAATAAGTGGTTTTCACTGTATGTTGAATACCATAGTAGCAACAGCCCGTTTTATTTGGTGTAAAAGACCCACAACCAAATGAGTAAAATAGCAGTGTCACCAGTGATATTTTGTGGTGACTGCTGAATTTTATCATAAGTTTTAAAAACCTATGAGCATTTAGATTTAATGGCTGGCTGAAAAATTACATTTTATTTGGAATCTTTAAAGCTAAAATTCTTTTAATTTCTGTGAAATTTGTAGTCTGGTCACTTCTTTGAATATTGAAACACTCTTACTTTAAAATTGCACTGAAATAACCTGAATTTTTGAATGTTGATTTAGAGAAAGTTTTGTTATCATTATTTAACTTTCTCTAAATGATAGAAGTTTCTAATTGTTATATTATTTCTACAATTGCATTCCAAGGGATTTACATAATTTTATTCATTGCATCTAAGCTGTGTATTTTTGAAAGAACATGTTCTGTTCCATATTTCTCTATTCCTGAAGGCTTTGATATTTGGGCTGGTAGCGATTTGTCGACTTCTAGTGCAGGACTCTGACCCTAGATAGTATGGTGGTAGGACATCAGTCTCCAGATAGTCTTGACCTGATTCACAATCGGGTGCCATATTCATTGAATATTTTTAAGGCAGAGGCAGATTCTTGTTAGGCAAGAGAAACAAAGGTTATCTGGGGTGAAACACTTAAGTTTAATGGCTGGCTAAAAAATTATGTTTTAATCTGTTGCTTTAAAATTAAAATTCAATCCAAGGATATTTTTGAAATGTCTGTGAAATTTGTAATGTGTTCACTTCTTCAAATGTTGAAACCATGGTGTACTTAAAAATCGTCCTGAAGTAAATGGGAATGTGGAATTTGTAACATAGATATGATGTAATTGAAAAGCAGAGCAGGCTTGATACACCAGGTGGCTTGCTTCTCTGAATTCATGTGTTCTTAAGTGATTAGGTAGCAATTATCAATAAATGGCTGACTTTAAAATCAACACTCATCTGCCAAACTGGTTGAAATTAGTAAACTTAGATCAGACTAGGGATTGCAGTTGGGTGCAGAGTGTATGAGTAAATCATAAATTTAGCTATTTTTATAGTATTTAGAGGGGCATTGCTAAGGATAGTATTGAAAGAAGTTGAGTGGGAGAATGCTTCTATGTTGCATAAGTTCCATCATTGCCCGACCCGCCTGAATGGCTTGATTGTGTGCAATACATTTCTCCTAAGGGGGCTGCAGATGCATCTAATTCTGAAGATTACGTGTATTGAGAATACCTTTTCGATTCTGTCAAAACGGTTGGTTTTTGTTACTCATGTTAAATGGTGATAGTTTTTAAAATACCTATGTTTCAAAAGAAAATTTCCCCTGTAATCCAACTAGGGTTGTGCAGAAAATAAATTTTGAATACTGTGCAGCAAATAAATTTTGAATACTGTGCAGCAGAAACCTGATTAATTTTCAGAGGCATTCCATACCAGAATGTACTTCAAGAGTAGTTTATATCAGTGCAATGCTTTTTTGCTTTGGCTAAAATTCACTTTTAACTTTTGAAGCTGGGAATTAATGGGATCGGTGGGCGATCTACGGTGAAATGTTTTTGTGCTGACTCTTTAAATGTATGTTCACATGTTAATAATGTGTGGCAAACAGGAGAAGGAGAAGCCCATCACCGCCTCCAAGGCGCCGCCGAACTCCATCTCCTCCCCCTCCTCCTCGAAGGCGCAGGTCACCATCTCCATTGAGGCGCAGGTTAGTAAATGGTTTGCCTTCCAATTATCAAGTGATTTCCTATTCGAGGAAGTTAGTAACGTTGTAACTTCTAGCATGGTGCTTGTGAATTTGAAGTTGATGGTGGAATTTAGCTTTTTAAACACCCAAGTTTATGGGTTCCTTAAAATCATGGGGCTGCTGATTTTCATTCTAACTATAGTTCCAAAATAAATTGGTAAGTTTCAAGTGACATGCAGAATTAGATTTGGGTAATTTAAGTGTGCATGTTAGGTAATATGGCAAAATTATGACATGGAACTGAAACAGGATTATTTTAAGTTTCAACATAAATGCTCCCAAAATTGTTTTAACTTGATGCAAGAACATTTTTATCTATAACTTCGACTGTTTCCCTTCAGGGTAACTGCTTGCAGTTGAGCTATGTTGTAGTTCATTACAGCAAAGTAGAAATCAAAGCATTTTTATAATTTAGCAGTTTTTACAGCATTAAAATAGGCCCATTGGCCTATCATGTACTCGCCAATCAGCGAGCATTTATCTATTCTAATCCCATTAACCAGCACTTGCCTTGTATGTTATGGCATTTCAAGTGTTCATCTAAATACTACTTAAATGTCTCCAGGGTACCTGCCTCTACCATTCTTTTAGGCAGTGACTTTTGGATACCCACCACCACTGGGTGAAAAAAGATTTTCCTCTATATCTCCTGTTCCTTAACTTAAAACTGTACCCTTTGGTAATTGACCCCTCTACTCAGAAGTAAGTTTTCCCCCTATCTACCTGTTATAACTTTGCACACCTCGGTCAGGCCCCTGTCAGCCTTCTCTGCTCCAAGAAAAACAACTCCACTCCACTGTATCTAGATACTTAGCTGAATTACTCAAGATCAGGCAACATTGTGGTGAGTTTCTTGTGCACCTTCTCTTAGTGTAATCACATCCTATAGTGTGGTGACTAGAACTGCACTCAGCTCTAACTGTAGCCTAATTAACGTTATATACAGCTCCAGCATAGAATTTTGAATGTAGCTGCCTTGCCTGTAAAAATTCTATACTAGTTGAGTTTGATTTATTGTCATGCATACCAAAGTGCAATGAAAAGCCTTGTCCACGAACGGTACATAGATTGTAGTAAGCAAGGGTTTACAGATCAAAAAAACTTAGTGGCATACAGGTTACATTGTATGTTATGTCGCATTGTTGGATGAGATCAACGTTAGCAAGGTCAGTGTTATTTGGGGCTAGAGAGTCTATTCATCAGTCTAATAATGGCTGGGAAGAAGCTGTTCCTGAACCTGCTGGTTTGTGTGTTCAGGCTTCTATATCTTCTGCCTGATGGAAGAGGTTGTTGAATATCATTACCAGGGTACGATGGGTCTTGATGTTGGCAGTCTTCCTGTGGCAGTGATCCATGTAAATGGAATCCATGGATGGGCAGTTGGCTTCTTTGATGGTTTGGGCTGTGCACACCACCTTCCGTAGTTTCTTACAGTCCTGGGCAGAGTCGTTGTCATACCAGGCTGTAATGCACCTGGGCAGTACACTTTCAATTGTGCATCTGTAGCCGTTGTTGAGGGGTGCTTATCGACATGCCACATTGCCTGAGGAAGAAGAGACATTCTTGTGCCTTCCCTTCTTGACTGTCGCATCTACGTGGGAGGTCCAGGACAGGTTGTCAGTTATCGTCACTCTGGGGAACTTGACACTCTGCACTGTCTGAACCTCAGTTCCGTTGATGTAGATTGGGGCATGTTCTCCTCCTTTCCTTCTGAGTCAGTGATCACTTCTTTAGTTTTGCTGACATTGAGAGAGAGATTGTTCTCATTGCACCACAACACCAAGCCCTCTATCTCCCTTCTGTAAGTTGACCTATTGTTGTTAGCCATCCATCCTACTACGACGGTGTCGTCAGCGAACTTCTAGATGGCAACACAGTTGTGGGTGTTTTTACTGTAGTTGGTGTTGTAAATTTGGCACTGAGTTTCCAATCTAAAGCCAATGAAGGGCTGGTTTCTTCAGTCTACAGAATGAATATGTATTCATTTAACATCCCATTAGCATAGGCCTTCGTAAAGCCTGGGTTTCCTGTAGAATGGTGACAGTTGGGTTTGTCTATTACATTAACTGAAACAGACTATTCTGCTTAGGTTCTTTTCTCGCCCTCTCCAATCCAGGAGTGCTTTACTGTATTCAGTGCATACTGTTATTAGCTCCTGATGTATGATAGCCTGGGAAGTGAAACTTAATTATCTTAAGATGGTTCTAATGTTTTTAATGTTTTGCATTCAGGCAATTGATAACATTTTTTGATATTTGTGTTTTGATTCCAGGTATAAACTACTGTAAACATTTGGTGCATGTATATAATTTTTTTAGTCATGCCTTATTCCAGCTGAAACGCTTTCACTCCCCATGTCAAGTTTTTGTTTTTGTTTTTGTTTTTCTTTTCTTCCCATTCCAAGGGCAGTGACATGTAGTCACCAGCAGCTCACCACTGCCTAGGCCACATCATAATTCTTTGTGTGTTCTGATTATATCGGGCAATTTTTAGCTTTGAAAGGAATCCCAACTAAGTAACAGCCCATTCACTACAGAAGTATGTATGAGTTATTGGTGTGAAGGTCAGTACTCTGAGAGAAATTCCACTGCTTTATCCAACATAACCGGAGACCACTAATGGCCCTGCTGACTGGGGACAAAAACTGGCAGGTTTCTAGTTCATGTGGAGCTCCTTAATTGTGCTTCCAACTCTGAAATTGTCAATGCAGTCATTACTGATGTATTATTTATAGCCCAACTTGAGATGTTATTTCTTGTCGGCAGTGGAATCTTGTTCTGTGTTTTATTGACAGGAGCAAAAGTTAATTGTTTTACCAGAATAAAAAAAGATTAATTAGAGCAATATTAATTTGGATTTGTTACGACTTGGATAATTTTGCACATAATTACTAATTTGACTTCTGTCATTGCTTTTGTCTTTTAGATCTCCATCTCCACCGCCGCGTAGGCGTTCAGCCTCACCTCGGCGTTATTCCCCTCCAATTCAGAGGAGATATACTCCATCACCACCACCTAGAAGGAGGGGATCCCCATCACCAGCTCCAAAGCGCCGTAGTTCCCCTTCTCCCTCAGCCAGGCGTAGGAGAGGATCACCACCGAGTCGTTCCAACAGAGATGTTCGCTCTCCTCCTCCACACAAACGCCATTCACCATCCCCACGACCAAGGGTGATGCGTGGATCTATTAGTCCACCACCAGCACGAAGAGTGTCAGTATCACCGCCTCCACCGCAACGACGTCATATGTCACCATCCCCTAGTAATAGGCCAATTCGGCGAGTTTCACGGACCCCGGAACCCAAGAAACCTAAAAAGTAAGGGTATTAAATAAAACACTAATGCTCAGTCGCTGATTACTGTTCAAAAGTATTCTCACAACGTTGTGCTACCTGTCTATTACTGGTTGTCGACTCAAGTTTCTAAACCAATGCTTTACCTCAGACTGCATGAGTTTCCTTAATTGATTTTCAAGCTCTTTGCGGTGACCAAAACACACACGTGCAATATTTTCTATCTTGGGTTTTCATTCCAACTTGTAACTAAAATAGTATAGAAGAATTTAGTTTACTTCTTAATTACATGTTTTGTCAGCGTTCATTCAGATTTACCTAGTCGTAATTTCAGCATCTTCTCTTCTAGTAGGTAATTCCTTAAACTGTTTGAATAATTGACTTATTTCTGTGTCTAATCTACTATTATTAATAATTGTTGCAGCTATAACATGCAGGTTCTTATTTCAAGCATGTGATGCTTTGGACTTCAGCTATAAACTTGTCTTCTAAGCTCTTGATAGCTTCAATCCAATTGATGTAGGAAATTACTTTTGTATATCCTAGTATTGATTCCTAAGGATCTTTCATTTTGAATACACTAATTTGTAAACTTTTCTTAGGATCACACCAAGTCCACTAGCTGTAAGAAGAGCTTCTTCTTCCAGATCCATATCAAGATCACCAGAACCTCTTCCCAAGAAGAGGCCAATTGCTTCAGTCTCCAGGTCACAATCTGTCAGCAGGTCACCAACTCCTGCTCCCACTCTACCACAAAACAAAAAGACAAAGAGTGCTTCGATTAGTCCATCTCCTGTGAAGGTAATTGATGATACTACACTGCTAATATCCCTCCATCTGACATTGTTTTCCAATTTAGCTTAATATATTCTCCAAAAATCAAGATCAGCAGAGTGAATAAACCCCCACAACAAAATCTATTCTACCCAGTGTTAAGGGCCCTTTGTAGCTGCTTATGGCAACCCTTGCTGTAACTTATGTTTTTGCACAACTTCCGTCATGAGGGGCAATGGAAAGGGTGAATGACCAGGATCGTTTTTCCAGGATAGGGGAGTCCAGAACTAGAGGGCATAGGTTTAAGGTAAGAGGGGAAAGATATAAAAAGGACCTAAGGGGTAACTTTCTTATGCAGGGGGCGATGTATGTATAGAATGAGCTGCCAGAGGAAGTGTTGGAGGCTAGTATAGTTATAACATTTACAAGGCTCTGGATGGGCACATGAGAGCAGTATTGTTTAGAGGGATATGGAACAAATGCTGGGAAATGGGACTAGATTAATTTGAGTGTTTTGGATGTGGATGATTTTTGGACCAAAGGGTCATTATCTGTGTTGTGCAACTCTGTGACTGTGCAGAAACGTACTGATGTGAAAACTGATTCTCACTAATTTTGATTTTATTATATTAAGTGATGAGGCATTTCTATAGCTAGTGCTTTGTTTAGTATTGTAAAACTGAGTTGTGGAAGGTATGTGGCACTCCCATTAAAATTGGATGGATTAATTCAGGTAATTTAGACTGCAAACAAGTTCACAGATAATTGTAGTTTTGGAAATTGCATTAAACAAAATAAGTGATTCATGCATTGAAATAATTGAAGTTTATTTTTAAACATAGCAGATGCTACATGAGTTAGTGGGGTAACTGCTCGTTTTTGAAGTTATACTATGTGAATTTTTCCACCTGAAGATGATGATCCCTCCCTTGTTGATATTTTTACTAAATCATCTTTAGTTTCTTCTTGGCCGTCTTATCTGTGGCTGTCGAGTCAGCTGCCAGGATTTCACCAGTACTGTCTTTGTGGGGCACTGTTGAATTGCCTTGCCACTCTGATTTTGGATTTTATACACCTTTCCTTCAACCATTGCAGGGTACCAAGATAACAGAAGTGTTAGTATTTGGTAACGTCTCCTTCAGAAACTGCTTGGAGTATTTGTACAATGCTTAATGATAAAGTACATCATTTTGTAACACTTTTGCCAGATATCTAAAATAAGCTTACCAAGTGTAGTGAGTCCACTTTAAAATGATGTCTTGCTTTTAAACATTGTGAAGTAATATTACTTTGTATCCTCAAGATCTCTGATCAGGAAACTGGAGGAAAGAAGAAGAAAAAGAAGAAAGATAAGAAACATAAGAAGGACAAAAAGCACAAGAAACACAAGAAGCATAAGAAAGAAAAGGCTGCAGCGTCAACAGCAGTTGTAGAACAAACAATGGGGTCATTTGAAGCTCCAGCAAAGTCACCCCAGCCAGAACCTTCAGAACCTGTAAAGGTGAGATAGTTAAAATTGGAGACTAGTAGAAATAAAGTTGATGTTTCCAGTAATTAGCTTGGAATGTACGATTTACAAGTTTGAAGCACGCACCTTAGAAATGTATGCAGTTGCTCATTTTTAGCTATATTGCTCAACTGAGCACTATTTCTCAGCGCTATTAGCTAAATGGAGAATAACTTCAGAGTGCTTTGGTGAAGAAGGATCTGGGTGTTCTTGTACATTAATCGAAAACTAGTGTGCAGGTAATAAGGAAAGCAAATGGAATTTTGGCATTTATTGCTACAGGAATAGGGTATAAAAGTGGAGAAGTTTTGCTCCAGCTGGAATATTGTGTACCATTTTGATCCCCTTCCTTCAGAAGTGTCATTGTATTGGAGGCTGTTTAAAGGAGGTTTGCTGTTGAGCAGAAAGGTTCAGACAGCCTATGCTGTCTGAAGTTTAGAAGAATTAGAGAAGAGCTAATTGAGGTATAGAAGATGCCAAAGGAGATTGACAAAGTAGACGAAGAATGAATGTTTCCTTATGGGGCAATCTAGAAAAATAGTTTGCGGTTTTAGGTTAAGGGATAGCAGATTTTAAAACTGAGATGAGAAATTACTGCTTTAAAGAGTTTTGAAACTGTGGAATTCACTACCTCAGCGTTCAGTGGATGCTGAGTGATTGAAGTGATAAATTTTTAATTAGTAACGTGTTGACAGGTTATGGAGACTGGGCAGGAATGTGAAAATGTGATCAGCCATGAATGGCAGAACAGGCTGGAGGGACTGAATTACCTGTTTTTAGTTTTTATGTTCCTGTCATGGCACTAAGGAAAACAGTACAAATTAAGCCTCATCCTCAAAATGCACTTCATCAGGTAGCAAGAGAAGCAGTGATTTGAGGTCTTTGTGGTACAGGTTGGTGCTGGTTATAGTTGTAACTTACCTTTTTGAAAATGCACATGGGAGGGGCCACTTGAGTGATCTGCATTCTACATTGTATATTGTTGCATGTCTGCACGTGCATGCACTTTAAATCATTGCGCGTACTGCTTGTATGTTATGAAGTTCAAATAATTTGGGAGCCCAATGTATTTTGAAGTGCATCTCTTTGAGGCTGTGAGTACTTGCATTAAAAATTGTGCTTTATAGAACTTAGTTTATAACAAAGCATGTTGTATACCTTTCAAATTTTCTAAGAAAAAAAAAATCTGAGCCGTGTAACGTGCTGCTCAAATAAATTTTGGCTTCTCCTGTCCAGAAGTTGGAAGTATTAAATATTAATTTTCTTCAATTAAATCATTGAGCCCTGGTGCAGAAGTTTTTTGTTAAAAATGCCATTCAGCTTAGTTCTGAGTTTCATCTGATCAATTTGTCATAGGAATCGGAAAGTGAAGAAGAAAATTTAGATGACCTGGAAAAGCATCTCCGAGAGAAGGCTCTACGATCAATGCGGAAGGCTCAAGTTTCACCACCATCATGAAGGAGAGTGCAGAATATATCTAACTTACGGAGCTGATTGGATTAGGCACAAGGGCTTTGTACATTTTAAAATTGACTGCTAGAATAATGCCAGTATATTGAAATGGCTGTCATGCCACTCATGAACACTGACACTGCCTCTTACTTATACCGGAAATAATTTTTCATAGTCAAATTGAAATGTTTTATTACAAATTTAGACAAAATTCCTACATGGCTTTCATTTTCACAACTACATCTCATTTTAAATGCAATAATACTTGAAAAGCCGTTGATCTCGATGGTTTGATGGTTGGTTTTAATCCTGGAGCTGTATTTTGCTTATCCTCATCGACCATGATTGGCTGAGATTCATTCTTTCCTATCTGACCTTAAACAGCTCTGTCCCATGGAGCTGTTTCATTTCTTCCATCAGCTCAACCAACTTACATGCATGGTTGCTGCCAGCTGATCATGGAACAGAGTGATGGAAATCTTGGGGAAGCCTCTGACTCAGAATTTCCTGACTCCTTTTGAATGGTCTGCTTGATAGTGAGAAATCCTTTGTGGGGGAACTGGTTTTGATAAAAACAGATCTGTATGGAATAAGTTGTGAATTTGGAGTGAACCAGTTTTCAAATTCAGCCATAAAGTATGCTGGATTTGCACTGAATTGACTGAATTTATGCTGTTTGTGATGAAACATTTAATGTGTTGGTACCTTTTTCTTTCCGTTTGCTGTTTTTGTCTTGGCTGCCATTAATGGTATTATGTGACATCATTTATGTAACTGTACAAATCCTTTGTGTTTAATCCACTGATACAATCTGTAGTGTAGTTTCTGCAGAGTTTGAGTTTTATTTGAGCCGTTTGATTGTCCACAACATTCTTTATAAAGAGCTTCAGGTGAAAATGCGCTGTATCTAGAACACTGGAAGTCTCTTTTTTTTAAAAGAAATGAAAATTGTTATAGGAAGAGGATGGTACTACCAGGATCTGAAGGATTTTAAGATTCCCTGGTTGACAGTAGCTATGGGTTGTATTTTCCTTTGTGTAACAGGCTGGTTTCACCCAAACTGTTAATGTCTTCTACTGTTACGGTTGTTCTGGGAGTAAAAACAAAACATGTTTAGATGCTGTTCTTTTGTGGGAGCTTAACAAAATCTGTAATGAATATTTTGAATTTGTCATCTTTTGACTTAAAAGGGTTTTTTTATAAACGTTGAATTATAAAGCTGTAAAAAGCTGAAGTAATAAATGGAAATTAAATTTCTAAATTGAACTTTCTTCTCTTTGGTGGGCTTTTTTCCCTAACAGGAAGTAGTCCCAGATTTTATTAATGGGGCATCTGCCCTCATCTTTAATAAATTGTACTTGTATTGTTTTGGTCAAAATTGGTTACAGCAAAGAAAATGGAAGCAGATTATAAGCATTGATCTTTATTTAAATGTGAATGTAAATTTTTGTTTAGAAGTTTGGGAAATAAGTTAGTTCGTACCTTTTTCAACTTAAGAACAAAATGGAGCAGAAATTTGAAATGCAATTGATAAGGAACTAAAGTCAATTAATACTAACACTGGCATTGTTTTGCTACTACTTAAAGTGCATTAAAGGATGTTGGATGTAGGTGTCAGATGCAGTACAGAAGCAAGTTAAACCAGAGTACCAGAAGCAGTAGCGTTTTGCTACAGAAGGGAGTATAACCATATTAAATAAATAAAAATACTTAAATATCATTGTATATTCAGGTTGATTTTTCAGAAATTTAAAGTGCCTAACATTCTTATCATATTGCAAATTTCTAAAATAGTTGATTATTGTTTGGGAATGACAAGTGTGTGATGTATGGCACAAGGGCTTAAATCCATGTTCCCCCTTGAGGGGTATTTTGTTGTGTAGATCTAGAGCTTTTATTTCAAATTCATGAGCCCAGAACTCCTGTTTCCTTTGACCAGTAAGGTGATTGGGTTCAGTTGCCAAATTTTGTTGAGGTCACATTAAAGTATATTAAAAGAAATTATTTATTTGCTTGCCTGAAGTAACTGAGGAAGCCCTTTTTGAGATAGATGTTTGGCAACATTAGAAACACTATATAACTTAATGTTATAAACCAAAGGTGCTACTTTTATTAAAGAGGATAGATAATCCAGCAATTTAAATAAATGCCTTTACTTGCACTTCATTTTTCCTCATGCAAATAGCATGGGAATATTGTGGGACTTCTTCCTTTTAGCAGTTTGTTTTTACAGTAATTGTGTGGTCATTCCAAGTTGATGATTCTAAGTTCTAGTTCTTAAGTTACAGTTAATTATTCTTTAGTTAGTGACAGCACTTCCACAGAAGGAAAATATTCAAATTGGCCATGATCAGTTATTTGTAGCTCTTCATGTTCAATTATTTTATACCCTGGTTCCTTTTTTAAATTAGTTTTAAATTTTGATTCTTATTTTGCAGCCTAGGCGTTGTATTCCGACTTCTATAGCCTCCTCGGCAGTGCCTGATGAGCAACTGCCAGATTTCAGTTTATATTTTGCAAAGCTCCTGTCTAGCTAATTCACAAAGCTGACGCATTAAGTGGTTCTTTTCCTCACTGCATAACCTGCAATACATCGCTAATTCCAAAATTTGCAAGACAGGTGGTTATGACTCTTGAAGATTAGCCAGTCAACTTCAGTCTATTTCGTTGTCAAATGGAAATTACAAGTTGTTTTTAGTCATGTAAAATACAGTCTCCAGATAAAAAAAGAAACTTGAGTATTTTACATTTTTCACATTTTCAGGCTGTCAAAATGCTTCACAACTCCAAATACATCTGATATCTCATTGTTTTAAAGTTAGTTCGTAGACTTGGGTCTTGCAGCAGTAAAGTAAATAACAATGCTGAAGCAGGATTGATAAATGGAGAAACATTTGACAGGACCTCTTGCTATTCTTCAGGATTAGGTATATTCATTTGAGCAGGTAGACAGGATTTGCTGGTTTGATGTAGCGATTAGACAACACTTTTGACATGCAGCTATCCTCCAGTACTACAATGAAGCATCCGTCTAGATAACATACTTAGGTTCTTGTAGTGCAACCTGAACCCATCACAGAGTACCGGTGCAAAGAATCATTGTAAGAATTGGATGATAACCAGTTCTCTAGAAGACAACAGGAACCCCAAAACCACTTTCTTATTACTCCGAAGCTTGCATCATACCAGTTCTCAAAGAGATACATTGGCTATATAGTACCGGAAGTTTTTGCATTTGGGAGACCATTTCCAGATGGAGTACTTACTTTGCTGGGCGTATCTGGTGTGACTGAGCTTCTGGTCACTTAAACTTTAATTCTGCATTCCACTTCTATCCTGACCTCTTAAAACTTAACACAGGTTTAAGGAACAGAAACATATCTATCAGAGACTTCACAGTTTTTCCAGTTGTACACTGAAGTTTGACAACTTTAGCTATCACCTGTCACTCCAGTTTCTCTCCAGCATGTGTTGATTATGAAGGATAGTTGCATCAGAACCACTTAAAATTGCAGTAGTGTAGGCTGGTATACCCTACTGATGTATTGCTAGTGGGATAGTCATACCCATAGAGTCGATCTGCCTTCATTAAAAATCTGGGAGTCTGCTTGCCAGCCTTTCAATCCTTCCCTCCCACTGCTACTTTTCTGTAAGTACTTGCACCTCTACACCAGTGTTCTTGCTCAGCTGTTTGGGTGTGTGGTTGCATAGTAGCCTGAGAAATACTAAATGGGATTTGTCTGGGATAAGTAAAACATGAGCAGGGCCATGCATTTAAAAAGAGATTGCACGAAGCAAGTAAATTTTCAAACAAATATTGTTATGGACCCATCATCTGTTGCTCATCCTATTAACATCCTCTTTGCGTTATTGTAGCCTCCTTTGAGCAAGTCTAACATGTAGTGCCCAGTCCTCTGACACCACCTTCAAAAAGATTAGAAGATTGTAGCCAGAAATTGTGTATTTCCACCCCAACTTGCCACAAGATTAGGAAGCATCTCTTCTGGTCTGTTGATATTTTAAGTGCTGCTTGCCTTTTAAAGTATATTCTCTATTTTGTGAGGTACCCACCGTCTCCACCATCTCCTTTTACTGTGACATTGGAATCATCCTTTAGACAGGTGAATACTACTCCATGGTTCTCTCTGATTCTACAAGGTTAACGGTTACTTTTGGCCCTATTAATTTGTTCAAAGGAGACCAGAGGTTGTTTTTTTGTGTTAGCCACTAATGTATTCTCATGCTGTCCCTGTAGCCTTCATTTTATTTTTTAAGCTGCCCGTTGTATGTTGTATACAGCTTGTTTTCTCCACTGTTATGCACATAAGCTTCCTTTTTTATTTTAGTCTCTCCCATGGAGATGCAGCTTTGAAAGACCTTTCTATTCCTATTCAAAATTGTTCAGTTTTTGCTTTCTGCTCAGTTGTTTAATTCCAGTCCACAGAAGTTAACTTAAGTATTTTTGCAACTAACTATAACTAAATTTAACTTTTCTATAACTAAAAACCTAATGATGTAATCGTTGTTCTTCAAGTGCTCCACTGAAACCTGCATCGTTTGAATTCTGAGAACTAGATCCATTGCTGCTTCCTTGTTGGACTGGAAGTACGTTGATTAAGAAAGGGTTCTCGTTTTTATTTCTGAAACTCCACCTCCACTCTTATTATTGCTGTTTAATTTTGGGATGATTTACATCCCCTTTTATCATGAATTACCCTGGTGTTCTCAACTCTCGGTTAAGTAAAAATGGTGGTGGAAGGTTGAGAAGTTCAGTACAATTATTTAGTGAACTTTGGGCTACCACATTTCTCACTTGGCATGTAGAATTAGAATTATTTTCAAAGTTCCCCACAGTACGGTCTGTTCAATTGTTTACTTAAGCCATTGCCGTCTTTGTTGCTTTGCCACTGACCTTGACTAATGCTGACACCAGAGTGAACTTGGTCCAGAAATTTGCTGGAACATAATGGGGGAGCACAACCAGAAAATTCAGCACTGCAATGTAGCCCTTTTCTACTGTATTGCAGGATACCGTTCTTCATGGTCCTACAGCAGTCGCACAAAGATTACGGACAGGTAGCTAAAGAATACTGTGAAAGCAGTCTCTGATAACTAAATCTGCTCCAACTGAATGCTCCCAGTGTTCTCGCATTGTGAGAGGTGTGAAAAGTCATGAGTCACTGTCCTTCCCCATTCACAAAGACTCAAAAGTTCACCTCAGAAACATTTAAGATCATTCCAGCACTTCTAGGAAACAGCAGCAAATACTCAGGCAGCTGGTGTCCATTTACACTATTCATAAATTGTGGGATGCATGCAGCATATAGGACCAGTACCTCGTCCCTGGTTCCAGTCTTGCAAAGATGATAAACATTGCTCAAGCATATCATTGCAGAGGACAGTGCTGTGACTATTTGTTTTGATAAGTGGAAGATGAGTGACAACCCAAAGTAGAATTTGGCCATTCAAGAAATCCAGTTTCTCACTAAGATTTGATATAGGAAGCACCTTCTCCACTTGTGATCTCAGAAGATTATCAGCCAACTTGGGTGTCAGTAGCATTCCCTGTCGTGTAGGAGTAGCAGGTGCTGGAACCTGTATTCAAAATGTCAATGGTTCTTTCCTGTGATTGGTACTCAACTAATGAGTACATGTAGTCTGATACTATTCCATGTTTTACAGGAATGCGCACACTGCTCCAGACTACCCAGCCTGCTCAATTGGAATCTTTAAGACAGACTCGTAGAGGACAGGATATCATTGCACACGTTCAAAACATATATCAGTGAAGCTCCTGTGTCTGCTTTGTGTTGATATGGAGGTGTTGGTGTTGGACTGGCGTGGACCAGGTCAAAAGTCACGCAACACCAGATTATAGTCCAACAGGTTTATTTGAAATCACAAGCTTTTGGAGTGCTGCCCCTTTGCCAGACTTTACCTGATAAAGGGGCAGTGCTGCGAAAGCTTGGTGTCATGTGACTTTTGACCTTGGCTTTACATTGACTGCAGAATCGCAGGTTAAAAAGTGAATGTAGGTGATAAATTTGATTAATTTTGTTTGAAGTGTGCCTTTTTATGTCAGTTGTCACTGAGGAAACTTGAGTGGCCTGAGACTACGGTTCTCAAGCAGTGGAAGAAATGTTATGTGGCTACATATGCAAGCTTTATTTAAATGTCCCTACTGACCCTCTTTTGCTCAATGACAAGCTCATAAGAGGTAGGAGTGAAGTAGACCATTTGGCCTTTCAAGTCTGCCATCATTCAAT